CGAACTGGGCGGGGCAACGGGCATGACCGACCAATTCGGAAAATTTTGGCTTACTGCTCCCCACCTGAGAATTTCAAGTATGGCCGACTTTCCAGAGGTGTCTCCGCTCCCTCCGACACCCGTACTCAAGTACTATATACAAACGATGCTGAATTTAATCGGCATTAACATGTCGTGTACTTCGCAATTAAGATGCGTCTGCACAAAACTTCTCAGAGCAAACCCGCTCAGTAAATGGATTTTTGAAGCTCAGGCCATTGTTCTAAATTAAGAATGGCCTTCCCCTTCCTGCCTACCTTTTCGACACTTTTAGTCCATAGCTGTACGATGCAGGTTTATGCGACCTTTATAGTCCAGAACATAATAGTTGGGAAACAGACTTTCTATAAGTAAGCATATTATAAATAACTCTAAGCAGAATAGAAAGACGAATCTCGCGCTCGCTTATCCCGAAGTGAGGGAGTTGGAAGGCGCTATCGTCGTATCCAGATACCCTTTTCCAAGCTCTTGAGGTGTGGGATTTATCTCAGCGACTGCGCGATCACCAGCTGTTTGTTTGTCTCTAATAATGACTACACCGCTTTCCCTCGCCATCGTTGAAACGCTAATACGCGAAAGTAGTGAAGACGTGGCGGAAAATCCTACGGTTGAAGAATCTCAAGGGACAGGACCGTCATAAAAAGTATCAAATCTGGTCAGCTGGCAAGGGATCAGCTGGCTCATCAAAACTCAACGAAACTACTACAAGACTCACTAATGGGTCACACGGTACACAGATTGCTAAAGATGGGGACAGCAATTGTTATTCAGGCAACCACTTCTCATTTTTCGAACAAATTCAAGTTTGAACATGAACTTTTCCAAATTACTATTCTCCTACTAACCCTATTCTCTGTTTAGAAAGTATCCATAGTAAAATCAGAAGTTGCTTAAAAATTTATGCCTGAGTATTTTGCACTTTCGTATGGTCGAACGAAAACAGCCGTAATTTTGATCAAAAAGCTGACAGTTTCAAACATTTTTTCAAATGATTTCATGTATGACGACATGAAGCCAAAAAGGCAGAGAATACAAAGAAAATGACTTGATTGAATTTATATGAGATGGGCGATGTAGTTTAGATTGGCATAAGGTTCTTTCAGGATGAACGCGCGATGTGCAACGGCAGAGGCGGAGATGAAATCTACTTGACTGTAACTTAATTATGTTTTTTTTACGAATATTTGGAATTCATAAGTTTTTTTCATAACAAAAAGAGTCTCTGAAACGATAATGTATGCCATTTATCTCTTTCGAATCAAATAAATCAATTAGAAAGAATGAATTACCAAACTTCGGCTAAAATCAATATGTTACAGCACAGACGAAGATAGTTCGCGTACTATAGTTGTATAGAACACCAGTGGTAATCAGCATATGCTTATACATAACTAGCTTGCATACCCGGCTACCCTCGGCTGTTTCACTGTAGTCAATGGCAGGCCTCGGCACGAGGTCTCCGATAGGATAT